AGCCATTCTCTATAATGTAGAAATGTCTTCATATTTAGACATCAACAACATACTTAAGTGTAATTGTTTTTATAATCAGCTTACAAAACTAACTTTTGAGGTGAATTTTCTAAGAAAGACACCTAAGGTCATAAACAGCCGTCTCGCCTTTTTTATTGTTAATTGCATAAACAAGTGTGCCATTATTCTTAGATAACGTTGCCTGTAGGAAATTTTGGTCTCAGTTACTAAACGCACCATCGCCACCTATAGTGTATTATCAGTTGTAAACAAACTTTGAAACTGTCAAGATGGCCAGTAAACAAAATAATTCACCTATTGATAGTAATGATATGAGAGATTTTTGGTGGAGGTGAGAATGGTTTTTTTTCTCTCCTGTCCCTATAATGAAAACTCTATAACGAAAAAAAATGCTCAGTCCCTTGAAATTCGTTATAAAGAGTTTGCGAATGCCTATATCCCTTGGTCACGGCCTTTTTTTCAGATTAACCTAATCGGTTATTTGCCAAATGCCACATAAATTTGTGATGTAAATTGCATAACACTCTTTCAACAGAGGTTTTTGTTTTCAGGAAATCCTAATAACAGCTGGTGGTGAGAATATAGCGCCCGTACTCATAGAACAAACGGTACAAGCTGAACTACCGCACATAGGATATGCCGTGCTAATTGGAGACAGGAGGAAGTTCCTCTCCATACTACTGACACTTAAGGTATCATAGAACCTATAATTTAATTTGAAAGTCAAGTCCAAAATTGAATAAGGTTCAATTTACTGACAAAAGAATCAAGTACTTACTATAGGTATAGAATCTAGGTTCTAAAATGTTATTTAAAAATTTCAAGAGTATGACTTGACTAATAATCGTAGGTTGATATTTTTGGTTTGTTACGTGTCTAAGAGGTCAAAAGTAAATTATTTTTGTTAGTATCATAAAAAATAGCGCAGTGTAAGACTAGTTATTTTTCTCAGGCCAAAGTTGATCCCAACACTGGCGATGTCCTGGACGAGTTGGACAATGAAACCAGGAAATGGGTCGCCGGACTCGGAAGTAAAGCTACTACCGTCAGCGAAATTGTCAAGTCTAAAGATCCTGTTGTAAGTACAAAATTAACATTCCATCATGATAGCTTTAATTAAAAAAATAAGAATGTTAACGTTTCTTAAAAATTGTTTACGATGTTTTTTTCTATATAAAAATGGGTAAATTTGGCAACACTTGCAGTCCACCAATCGTGGTGCTTTCTTTCGTTTTATAAATTATATTTGCGTGATAACAGTCTCTGATCGGAGTCTTAGATCAGTAAGAATAAGATGCAAAGTTCAGACTTAGTACTAAGTACCTATCTATAAATATTTTTGTAGTATTTTTTATTGTATTATCATTGTTTTTTGTGTACTTGATCGCTGGTTGTGTCTTTTTTCGCCAGCGCCACTTTTTCGTAGTACGTCAATTTGTTGTAAAAAAAAGTACGACTACCACATACAAAACGTTTTTGACATACAACTCAAACTTAGCGTTAAGTCTTCACTCTGAATAGTATCTAAGACATTTAATATTTCTACAAAAATATTTTTATAATCTTACTCTTAAGTTACGTGTATATTTAACAAGTACGTCACCTTCAATAGGTGTACAAAGCTATAGAGGAAGGAATAACTAAAGCGAACAAGCACGCGATATCAAACGCACAGAAAATTCAGAAGTTCGCGTTGCTTCCAGTCGACCTATCCTTGAACTCCGGGGAATTAGGTAAGTAGTATAGTCTTTATTGAGCAGAAGTCGTATTTTCTTAATAAAAGTATGTCGAACCTACCACGCAAAATTTGGCCAAAGTTGCGGGTAGTTTACCCAACAAATATAAACATTTAAAAATATACAATAAAATAAAGTACTATGTTTTTAATGGTTAAAGTAACATGGTACACCTTTGTTAACTCTAACTTCTATGAGAGAGAGTGTTTTTAGTTTGTTTGTAGGACCAAAAATAAATAGCAACGGATAAGACCCTCGAAGATGGAAATTATTTACAAAATTATTAATGTTATAGATGTAAACTATTTTTATTTATACTAAGGGGCAATACAACCGATTTTTATAATTATTCCTACTCTTGAAAGCTACATTATTCCTTGACATATGCTATAATTAAAATTTGTTCACCGTATTTGAATTATATTGGTTTAAATATATTAAAATCTAAAGTTGGATTCATATTAATTGATGTATATTATACTAAATAGATGAAAAATACTCGAATTGATCTAGCCCTCTTCAAGTTTTGCGCTTAGCAACATATTTTGCGATTCCTTTTTATTTATAGATTAAAAAACCGTGACTAACCGATAATCTCTGATATTTTTTTAAGATTAAATTATCGCTTTAACGATAAAATTTTTGCGCAAAGGTTTCAAGATACGATTTGTAGTAAAAGTGAATAATCCCGATTTAACATGAATAGTACTTAGGTAGGTATGTTTGCAAGAAATGTATTTATCACTAATGGATAATTAATGTAAAATGATAAATAAAATAGGTTACAATCCCTATCGGTCATTTGAAGATTATGACTGTACGCATTTTGGAATTGATAGTGGGTACCTAGTAAGCAGGATAAAATGGATACAGGATATGGAAGAATTTCATAGTACAACTTTTTTTGTCATCGCTTGTTATTAAACGTTCGCAACGTATATAAACACATACAGATAATAGAGAATTAAATTTAAATTTCGTCATCGAGATTGGATACGAAGTTAATCTACTTAAAAATATTAACAGGTTTGGATTTACTGACGTTTGTTTTCTTTTATGGCGTACCATCGTAGATTTTATTCAATTTTATAAAATTACCTCGTTATAAAATATTTTAAAATAATAATTTAAAAATGATAATTTTAATAATAATTTAATCTAGTCACTGGATGGTTGGGCTAGTACAAGTCGCAAAGGCTGGCTAGTGTGTGGGGGTGACATTATATTGTATTGATACCATTTCTCCCGTATGTCAAAATTCTACACATTTTTTGACAGCACACTTAGTGCTAAGTGTCGTGTCTGAATCTTACCATAGGCGTTGCAAGTATCCATGTGCGGCTGAGCCTACTCGGCTGCTCCGTCCCATAAAAAAACAAAAGTCAATTTTAAATCTACTATTAAGAATTTATTTAATGGTCCATAATCGTGTACACACATAAAGTGTGATTTTGTTTTTTATGTTATTTTATAATTTTCAGGTCCAACGCTAAAAATCAAGAGAAACGTAGTGTACGAGAAATACAAAGACATCATAGAAAACTTCTACAAAGATTGATTAGGTTATGTATAAAAGGTGTTATATTTAAACTTGCGTTAGAATTATTGCCATCTTAAAAATATTATATTCCAAAGTATGTACTTATGTATTATTTTTACTTGTATTTGAAAAAGTGTAGCCAATCGTAAGATTGGTCTAACAATATTTTATTATTATTTTGTCAAGGTCACTCAATAATGATCCAAGTGCCAAATTCCATAAAGCTTTTTATCGCATGCTGATGACGTCAACTTAATATTAGGCGTACGAAAATACAATATTAAAATCAGCATATTCAATCACGGTATTCCTGCAGGAGCTGCTAATAACAGTGCGTCTCGATCTTCAATTTTATTAATAACAAAAAACGCAAGTATTATTATGAATTGTAAACGTTTTTGCTCAAATGGGGTGATGAAGTGTTGTAATCGGTTCGTTGATAGAGGTGTAAATAATATTTTCGTTACCTTAATATAAATTATTATGATAACTGTGTTTTATTTAAAGCTTTCCTTACTCCTTGTTGTTTATACTGTTCTACTGCACTGTTATTATTTAACATTTTTAATCCCAGGGTAATTAATCGTCAAATTTAACGTCAAGGTTATAAAAATGGCTTAATTTGCATAAACAAATCAGGGAACATTTCTCTCACGGCAGTTTCAACAATAAATATACGTTTTTTTTCTATGTGACTCACCAAGCTTTCTCTATAAATAGATTTTAGAACTAGAGCATATTCTTGAGTTCTGTTTTTATCGCTTTCAAAAAAGAATAATTACTAACGTTAGCTATTATGTTCTAATATTTATATATTATTATATTATATTAGTGAATTATTTCACCAACGCGAATCACAAAATTCAAAGATAATAAATATGAATCAACCTTTTTAATCGCAGAAGGTGTTTTGTCTTTTAAACCCTCAATAATGAAATCACAATATATTTATTCTATTTTATTTCTAAATCAAAATATTTGGAATGATAACAATTAATAGTCTTATAATAATACTTATAATCCAACGATGTTGGTAATAACGTCAGCCAATGATCATACAACACATTACAATAATACTTTATAAACTTTTTCAAATAATGCTGATAACGCTTATATACTTAAATATAAATAAAATCTTATTTAAATACCGATAGTACCGGCTACAAAGAAGTAATAACCGTAAGGAATATTTGTAATTCATAGTTTCTTGCCAGTTTATAACTTATTAGCACAAAGATACAATAAAATCTTGTCATGATACTTTGCCGTGTACGATTTGGGATTTTTTTAACAATTATACTATACATAGATAGAGGGACATTTACAGACTGTATTTTAACTTGGCATTCTAATGTATACTATGTGTTGCCACATTTCAGTTTTTTATACAATGATCGCTTGTAAATAATACTAATAAGTTTTTATGGAACATTCTATAAAAGTTTGTTGAACTCAACAATGAACGAATCTTCCAAGATCACCAAAGTGACAGTTGACATTTGTCAAAATGATGGACTGTATAAGTAAAATTGACGCCGCGCAAGTGCAATAATCGAGAAAGATCTCTATACTATATGGCATGTTGTAATTTTGGCGCCATTACATATATTTTTAATTAGATTCAATTTATGAAATGTAGTATGTATGAAACTCAATCGTAAATTATTAGGAAAAGTTTCATACACTACTAATCAATAGGGGTTTTAAGCCGATGGCGGAGGTGTGGTGGGTGGCGGTGGTGGGTGATCAGCCAATGGCAAAGGCTTAGCCACTCCGATGCGGACCACGCCCCTTGGTGCGCCCTTCAGAGCCGCTACTGCCTGCTCTAGACTTGCGTTTTCCAAATTCTAGAAAAATAAAAAATTTAATTCACTTTTTTATGGTAAACGCAAAAGGAACGTTTTATCCGCATTTTATTCTTAGTTAACACACGATCTCGTATGTAAAAACTGATTTACGGAATACCTTTAACAACATTCCTTCAACTCATCTATCCACTTTGTGTAATAATAATAATAACAAATTGCCTGCTACTATTACTATTCTTATCTACGTAAGGTTACTTTTACAGTCAAAACCTAGCTGAGCCCTGCGATTTTAAACGCCACAACCGTAGTTTAAAAGATATCCAGCACAAAAACAAATTAAACCCGTAAATCCTGAGAATGATCTCGAGATAGCGCGAAAAATAATTGTTTCCCAGTTTTGCATGATTTTTCATTGTTGTTTCGCTCCTGTTATATTATATAATCTAAATCTAACAAAAAAACCTATATATATGTGTACTTTAAAAAATCTTTAAATCTCACCTGATCATTAACAAATAGTAATCTATCCCCGGGTATAAGTCTTCCATCTTGTTGAGCCACGCCCCCCGGCACCAAGGAGCGAATAACGACCAACGTATGCGCAGGACGCAGCGGGTCCTGATAGTCTAGGATCGAGAAACCTAAACCACGCTCGCCTTTTACTAACTCTGAAATAAAATTAACCTTTTGAAAGTTATATTCCAAAATATTATTTTAATAATTTGTTATAAACTGGTAATATATTACCTTTTAAGGGTATAATAAAAATTATAAAGAAAACTCAACAATAACAAATCGTCATGATCGTAGAACAATGTCGGATTTGAAAAAAATCTAAAATCCACTATTTATCATCTTCAGATACTACATTGACTAAATATTATGGCTACATTAAATAAAATTTGATGTATTTTAAATTTCAAAGTAATCAGTCGGTAAAGTGACGGATTTGATAGACGCTCATTGATTTTTCTAGAAAACTGTGTAATTTACTGTTATTATATTTATTTAGTTTCAAAAGAAACCCCTTTGTTTGCTTGTATGCCAATGTTCATAATAACGGAATATGAATTAAAATAGTTATGACAAAAACTAACATGATTATATTATTTTGAAATGGCTGCCCTGTAAAGTTTACAATTTGTCAGATCCGTCACTATTCTACGACTATGACGAAATATGCAAATACGGTTTTAATACGTACAAAGCAAAGGTTGTATACTAAAGTACTTTCTTTGTGCCCATTTCACACTCGTAAGTAAAGGATAATATTGTGAGGAAATCCGCATGCCTTACCCAAGTTGTTGACGTGTGTCAGGCACAGAAGGCCGATTACCTACTTGCCCATTAAATGAATACGAAACAGATACGTAGCCTAACATGAAATGACTTCTTCAGCTAGCTTCTACTTTAATTCTAAGACTGATACAAAATGCATATTTATTAACCAATTCAGCAGTAAAAACTAATCTAACCAACCACTAGAAAATAACTGCCGAATAATTAAAAAATTCATATTTAAAAAACATATATGGAATAGTGTAATATTTAATTTTATTAGTTACGCGAGTAATATATATAAATAAAACTTCTTAAACGGATATAAAAGCGTATTCATTACATAATTTACACAACTCACATTACATATAATATAAAAAATTGGCGTTTATAACCGATAAAAAGTTTTATTTGACCCGGGTTCACAAATACTTACCAATAATCTGTGGCTCTGAAGACCACATAGCCAGGCCTGTTAGTGGTTCCAGACTGCGCGAACGAACCTTTCCTGTGTTACCATCTTCGACACCTGCGCCTGCGCCGGCCAGACTTCCATCTGACTTTGCCTGTAATAACCCCTCAATAAATCATCTTTTCATTTTTAAATAAATATTAAACAATAGACCAATATCTACAAAAGCATTACATACACCGACTAAATCCTTACTGATTATTGCTTACATCTTGCCAGCCAGTGGACTGTGAAATATGAATTTATAATTGTATAATATATGTAGTGTACCTATGTATCAGCAAGCTCCGCTGCGCAAAACGCCAGTGTTCTGTGTTTTGATCAGTATGTATTGTAAGTGTGACTTAGGGAGCGTTCAAGTATTACGTAACGAATTTTGGGGGGGGGGAGGGAGTCCTTTGGAAAACGTTACGATGCGGGGCGGGGATTGAATTACGCGTTATTTTTAATATTATTTTTCGCCTTTACACCACATAATGGTAACTTATAGGTATAAAGAGTCACTAGGTGCGAAGGGGGGGTGTACTTGGGGGGGAGGGTTTTTTGCCAATAATCTCCAAAAATTGCGTGACGTAATACTTGAACGCTCCCTTATGAATAAATACATTTTGTTAATATTTCTGTAAATGAAAATGGTAAACGGTAAATGGTAGTGTAGTGCACCTTTTTGATGATATAAATAATGTTGATAAATATAACACAATATTCACAGTTGAATCAACAGATTAGGAACATGTGTTAAAATAATGGATTTATAAAATTCTTTTTATTGTAAAATTAGTGACTATTCATTTCCTGATAGTAGATTATATAATCATCATTATTATTTCAAGTAATTTATAATTTATTAGTTCTCAAAACCAAAATCATTAAAAAAAAATTAAACCGAATACCTGTTAACTTATTATTTACTTAGGTACTTATATTATACACGATCCCTAGTAATGCGTAATCTCAAAAACTACGATACCCATTTTGATGAAACTTGGACGGGTCCCTAAATTGGAATATATAATAAATAATTTCAATCAAAAAGGATTCCATGAATTCCGAGAAACAAGAAATACATAACTGATGATCTCTTATTTGAATTCAGTTAAAATATACCTTAACAAGTGTAGGTGCAGGTGGAGTCAGGTCTATGGCTGGCGTAGGTCTAGGTCTTGCGCAAACCATGCAGACCTCACTTGACAACTCCTTGAGAATAGATACGACTTCCAGGTGATTCATGCCTAACAGTCTGTGGCCGTTCACCTCTGAAATATATAAATGCACATATCAAAGATCAAAGTTATTAACATTTAATTTATTAGTTTATAAATCTTAACTCATATATAATGTATTTGTATTACTTTTTGATTACTTAACGAATAAAAATTATTACATGACGTTTACTAAACCCGCTAATGATGTCGACAGTGACAATATTTCTATTATTATTATTTTATAGTTACAGTGTAAAGTCTATTTACGTAAACTCTATGTAGGACAGTCAAGGGTCTGTGTGATAAGGGGTGTCCACCCCAAAAAAAAAAAAATTTTTAGAATAATTGTTTTGTTTTTATTTTTTTATGATACATCATATAAAAATACATACAACCCACAATTTTCACCCCTTTACGATCAACCCCTATTTTTTATTATAGTAGATCGTTATTTTTATTGAACTAAAAAAATGTTTCCTAGAAATAATATACATGGCATGACGTTTGCCGGGTCAGCTTGTAATTACATAAAAACAATTCTTATTTGAACGCTATTGCATATAGTCTGTTATTTTCGTCTGACGACTTTCACCGCACCAGTAATTAAGTTGTATTTTTTTACTTATTTTATTCATTTTCCGATATTGAGGCATCTTCGTGATAAAGCACGTGTAAGCAATCCCAATTTGTCTATATCGGATTTCTTAGAAAGTTTGGTACGTATGATGCAGCCAGTCGAGTATATTACGGGCTAGGACAATAAAGCGACAAAAGAACGTAAACAGCTCCGGAGTTTTAACTAATTTCGGTAACTTAAAAAGTACTTTTTAATATTTAATTGTCGTTATTGGGTGTAATGCTATGCAGAGTGTATAATTGTATGGAAGACAAGCTAAACCAACCAAAGCCAAGTTTTTTTTTCAGGAGGTTTGTCGTTAAATCGAGACACGTTACATGGAGTTCACACTGTAATTCCATATTAAATGTTTGATAAGGCAATGTTGACAAACGTCCTGCTTTTAAAATAAAACTATATTCGAGGCCGCCGGTTTACAAACAACAGGCGCGGCTCAGATAATGTCATTTCGTTACGTTTCACCATAGTTTTTTTATAGATAACACAATTATTTGACAATACACAAATAATAGGAGTACAAGAAGAACAATAGCCAATCAACCACAACAGTGATTTACATTAAAAAACACAATACAAAATATCAAGTGGGTACATAATATATAATAGCATGTAATTACACATACAAACATATTTACTTACCAAGTAACTCATCTCCGGGTCTATGCACACGTGCACGCCCCACTGGTCCTTCGGGCAAGACAGACCGGACATAGTGATGGGGTCGGACCTCTCTACCACCTTCCACATCCACAGTGCCCTCCAGGGAGATACCCAGGCCTCCACCACCACGGACCACCACACCTACCACTATCTCAACGTCATCGCCTGGAAATGGAAATTATTATTAAACCTTATATAATTGTCTAAATACTTTAAATACGTGGCAATGCTATCAAACATAATTCTGGTCAAATTTGTTGAAAGTAAATTAAGTTTGTGTAATGTAATTGACCCTTCAGCTCCAAAGTAAAAGTGCCTTAAAATGAGTAATCTATTATGTACTTCATTATCTTTGTTCCAGTCTTGAACCACCTAACACCTAAGAAAACGTTTTTTGCAATATTTGTCTTCGGTCATTCGCTGTGAAGAGTAAAGTGAAAGTGGATGTAGGATGTGATTATCTCTGCTTTTTTTTTTCGTGAGTTTGTTTTAAATGTCAATGTCAAAAATATCTTTCCAGTTGTGTATCACATCTGTATCTAAGTCATATTCTATGTAGTTAAAAATTATTATATCCACGTTGATCCTGTTTTTTACGTCCTGGTGAGACCGTTAGGACCGTTTCAGACAAAAAACTATTCTTTGTATGGAGAAGTATGAGACCATGCCCAATAGACCGTTCCGCACCGGCCGACACGGTCGGTTATTTTATTTTATAAACCTGATTTCTTTCCGTGAGTGGGCAGACACCTTAATAGTATATATCTACTTACCAAGTATGGCCTGCCACTTCCTCTTAATGGCGTCCTTTTGCTCCTGCGTCCGCGGCATCTCAAAAGCCGGCTGCGGTCGCTGTATCGTCGATACAGAGCTACGACCGCTTTCACTCACATCGTCGACACTGGTCTCTGAACTGGATATTAAGAAATTTAAATTACATTATTTTTAAAATTGTATCAATTTTGCTTTTGTTAAGACAGTACATTAAGCATGCATACAAGAATAAATATTATATATATAATAAGAGATAAATATAGGCTTAACCTAATATGATTAAACTATAAAAAAAAAATCCTCAGGGTAGAGTACTTGCGTGTTTATATATAGTAATGTAGTTTAAAGGCAGTTTTACTATGAATAAAACAAAAGTAGTTTTTAACGGTCCAATTTTAGTCAATTATTCATAATTTGATGGAATTTTAACGTACGTGGTATTAAGGTGTGTCATCTGTATGTGGTGTTCGCTGGAATCAGAGTTATCAGCGCGATGCATGTGCAAGAAGGGATTGCTGACATTCGTCATTCCAGCCGCTGCGCTTTCACCCGCCGCTATTGCCTGCTGGAGTTGCTCGAATTTCGGACCACGAAGATATCTAAAAAAAAACATTTTACTGTATGTAAGATGAAGATAAAGATATCAAAATTTTTGAGTGAATAAGCCTTCTTGGCGTAAACATTCTGCTCCAAAGAACACAATATTCTGTCGCTCTTACACTTCAATTCAAATATCATATTTGTTAGTATGAAAAATAATTTGATACTTTTAAAAGTAAAATAACCTTTTAATAATGAGAAAAAAGTGTCATATGACACAAAATGGTCACGGATAATATCTGCGTTGAAAATTTACTTGAATTGAACTGACATTTCTTTACAAGCATGGTACGTCATAGGGCCTGGTCCGACGCCATCTTGCCAGAAACGTTTTGCCGGGCTCTTGAACTAATGAATGTAAATGTAATTTAAACTTTTAAAGCCAATATTTAACAGAATTAAAAACAACAAATTGTATAGGTTCTACAGACACTAATAATAATCTGAAATTTTGTCATTTTAATAATTTTGTCTGAATTCTGACAGCTACAATTTTTTGACATGTCAGAGATTACAAACCTGTTTGGAAAATTTTCAATTTCATTTACGAGTCTGAACAACTGACGTTATACATACATTTTATTTGTGTATCCATTTTAATAAAGTGCAGTGCTCAACATTAAAAGTGATTTTAATTGTGACTGATAATTTCGTCCCTTTTCATCACAAACAGTAAAAAACGAACAAGTAAAGATAACATTTTAGGTTTACCAAACCTCGAATTGGTAGGCAGTGCTGCCAGCTAAAGATTAAAATAAAGTAATTAAAGTTAATTCCATATTATATTGTTCGAAATATTAGTTATTTTTGAATTAGGTCACTTGGGTAAGTAAATGTTAAGATTTACCTTTTTGTAGATAAAACATTAAAAAACTTAGAATTTTATTTGATTGCCCGTCGGAAAAGGGGGGGGGGGAATTTGTCCCTTTTTCGGCGGAGAACTTTTTTAGTAGCAGCATTTATAAAATGTCAGAATTCTACGGAATGAAACATCAGAGGACAGTGTGAAGATTGTAGTTCTATGCAGCTCAGAATTAGTGACAAGCGCAAAAACGTGTCACTATTGCCTAGTCTTACTTCCCTACTAAAGTTATATGTAAGCCGCGATAAAGTTTACGTCTTTCTGTACTAACTTCAACGATATCAAATGTTGCGAGCATGTTTTACTCTTTAGCCCGCTTATATTAATAATTAAAGACATGATAAGTGCTATAACAATATTAATATAACCAAAAAAACCATAGATAAATTCTTTGGACAAGATGTCCATTTAATTAGGTGAAAGTAAAAACAAATGAAAATCACACTCAATATGCTGGTTTTAAATTACAAGTCGCATAACACTTCGAAGAGGGTAGCTCTTAATATCGGTAAGTGAATTCCTTTTATTTTACAAATAAATTTGTAGTATGCTCACCTCTCAAGTTCTAGGGTGACAATGTTCCCACTCTGCTTGAGAGCGTCCACTGCCCTTTGATTTGATTTACCCGCGAGTGAGACGCCATCAACTGCCACTATGCGGTCATTAACGCGCACTTTACCACTTAGAGCAGCCGCACTACCCGGGGTCACTGATTTTACAAAAATCCCGGACAATTCCTCTTTTTCACACACATAACCTGAAACGTAAATATGTAATATATTGTTTCGCGCCTTGTTAATTGTTTAACTTGATAGATGATACTTAAAATGTATATGGTATAAGAATGTATTTTACTACTACTACAGACTCTTTCGTTTATAAGGAATAAAAAAATTGTACTGTGGTGTTCAAGCACCAAGGCAGCAGTGGGTTTTTGGTATTTTTTGTACTTTTAGTTTATAATAATTATAGTCTGGCTTATGGAAGAAGATAATTGAATTATTTGAAAACTTTCGGATGGCAACACAGAATGTCATTGAATTTCTTCGGTTAGTATGATTTATTGTGTTGATACTTCATGCAATTACTCATTTTTATTTCTATTATATATTTTTTCCGAATAGTTAACAGGTATAATAGCCTAAACTTTGTTTTATTTGATAGAATATTTCGTTTCTTTCGCAGGATTGTTATTGGAATTGCAGGATGATTATTCCGAATAAAGTTGTGTTTTATAATAAATATAGTTTTAGTTTCCCATGCAATGCTAGTCATTTTAAGTATCAATAGCAAAAGACTAAATATGTATAGTATTTAATTTCATAGAAATACAGTTACTATCAATGTAAACCATAATAAAATAAAATCAAGTATCAAGTAAGTTTAATCCACAAAATATATCAAACTCAAAATGAAAAAAAAAAGGATTTATATTTGCATATTTATTATTTCAAGTTGCATACCTGCTATGGTGATACCCAATCCATTTTCGTCCTTTTTAAGTTGCACGGTAAACCTATCTACTTCAGGTGACTCTGCGTCTAAAACATATTAGATTTAATTTTTTGAATTGATTGCGTTCAACTTGAGTCCTAGAAGAATGGGATAAAACAATTCTACGTCTGTTTCATAGTATTGTTAGAATAGTAACATAGCTGATAATAAATGTATTGAAGCGAACAGTTTGAGAATATTAAACTAAATACGAAATAATGGCCAGTCACACTGATCTTGAAGGTGAAGAGTTTCTTGGCTTTTTTTAAACTTGACGATCGTAAGTATACATAGTTACCTATATAAATAAACGAATTTTGATTTTAATCTAAATAATAATGGGCTCACCGCTTTCTGGGGGCGGAGTGATGGACTTATCGAAGACAAATCTTGTTGAAGCCGAGTTGACTGGAAGTGGTGTCGGCTGTGTGTGGAATACTTGCTCGAAACCAGCTTCCATGAGATAGCGGTCCAGAGCTTCAGGGCTTGACAGGAGTCTGTAAAAAAGTTATAATAAGTCCTAAAACAGATAAAACATGAGTTTAATGTTATTTGCAGACATAATACCTTAAAGTCTATAAAAAAATGACCATCTCATTTTGTTTTATATTATGTCAATAGGATTTATCATTAAAAATCGACCTTATCATTTCTTGACAAACTCACAGCTAATGCGTTCTGCCATAGAGAAGAGACGTCTAGCGTTTGTGTTCCACTAGTAAAAATAATGACTTGGCTTTGCTCTGTATTGTTATGAAAAACAAAATCTTAGCGATATCTTTTTAAATATGTTAATTTTATAAAGCTCGGTATTGGGTTTTATTACATATTGTTAGTATCATATATATAATGAATTTAAGTAAAATTTGATTGTTACCTAGCCGGCACGACAGGTGCAGTTGATGGGTGCAAGGCCGCCGGGTCTACCCCACGAGCCACTACCAACCGGACACGAGAACCCGATGCCCGGAGCACGCCTGCCACTTGCTCTGACCCCATTTCCATGAGGCTTACCTAGAACCAAATTATTGTAATGTGAAACCTGTAACTCTTGTGGTAATTACAAATCTTAACAGATGTCACCAACTATAAACAATTAAAAAACTGTGTCAAGTGGCAGTGCAACACATGGGTAAGAGTGCAATCTTTTAATTAGCCACAGCAATAGCGTAGCAACATCGCAAAGTTTGCAATACGGAAGGCGGTAAAAGTACCGTATGTAATCTAAAGAGATTCAATGAATTATTGAATTATAGAGTAGAGACTAAAACAATTATTTAAATTTTATAGGTCCTACACACACTAATAAATTTAACTATCATGTCATCTTTGTCCCTTGAGTGAGCTGACGAAAGTTCTACTATTTGTATGCCTATAATTCGTTATTATATCTTTGAGTAATTCTTTAGCTTGCTTTTCCTAATTAATAATCATTATTGATAATTTTATCTTTATATTTTTAATCTTGGGTAAACATCGAAAATATATTTAAAATATTATTATCCCAGCTGCATTTTATATGTACGAGTATATATAAATAATAATAATAATAATATAATTATTGTAAGATTATGTACTTAGCAGTCGATGGAACAAAAATAATTTTATATTATCGCTCTTTAATTATTAATAAGCATTTAATTAACTATTTCTAATTTAAGAACACAATAATTTATAAATAATTCACAAAAAAGAAAATTTAATAGAAAATAATGTTTGTCTTGTTTTAGTTATTTCTTTAGATCTTCAAATCAAACTTAGATCAGCATTATCTAGTATGCAAATGTAATAAATCCATATTATTGAATTAAAAACGGAATTTTCATCTTTAGTATTGATGGTAACAAGTTACTTACATCTCCAATTTGCAATATATGATCACCCGACTTTAATCTTCCATCACGATCAGCGACGCCACCAGCAAGAATAGTTTTCACAATAACACCACTGGTTCTGGCGCCAATTATACCTGGAATAAACAAGCGAAACTCATAATTATAGAAATGTACATATATATGTAATCAGCTTATTGCGGTTCAAACTTAGAACAATTATTATTTAAATTATAGTTAAATGTTGGTGCATGAAGCTATGTGTCATTACAATGATGACATTATAAAAACCGGGCATTACTAAATTTTTATTATTAACTAAGCAATTGTTATTTTATGGAAATCAATTTACATCTATTGCTTTTACCTCAACTGTACACATGTTTCCTGATGCATGAACAAGCAGAAGGTCCATATTTCACCTGCTCAGAAACAGCGATAAAACCATTTGAAGAGGCAAACGGGCAGGAGGCTCTCCTGATATTAAGTGATACCGCCACTCATGTACACTCACACTGCCAGTAGCAAGCGCGTTGCCGGCCTTTTACGAATTGGTACGCTCTTTTCTTGAAGGACCCTAAGTCGAATTGGTTCAGAAATAATTCAATGGGCAGGTGGTTCCACATAGTGGTGGTTCGCGGCAAAAATTGCCTTAAAAAACGTAAGTTGTGGATCGACGGACGTCGAGGTGATATGGATGGTATTTTGTATTGGTATTTACTATCTCGATGTCCGATGATGAAACTCAGCTGCAGGTATTATCCATGGGAGAGTATTCAGAGGAGTTGTAAAATGCGGTAGAAGACGCAGAGAGATCCCACATATTTACGCAACGCTAAGGGATCAAGCCGCTCGAAAATCGTCGACTGGTAGTCGACGATTCGAATCGGTCTTCGTTGACTACGATCCAGCAGAAGGAGCTGGTACTGGGGAGCTGCCGCCCAGAGGTAAGAACAGTACTCCATGTGGGGCTGAATTTGCGCATTTAGAGTTGCAAGCGGTTGCCCGGTGTGACGTACTGTTTCGCCTTTCCAAGCACACCAAGTTTCTTAGAGGCTAACTTAGCCTTTCCTTCTGATGATGACCGCGAAACTGAACTGATATGTCAACTCCCAGTATCCCGATGCTAGCAGAGGCTTTAAGGAGTGTCATTGACTAGGGGAGTAGCGTCAAATGGTGGTTCTTTTTCCTAAAAACTCGCAAATTTGTGTCTTCTAGATGTTAAATTGGACTAGATTTAGTCTACCCCACGTAGCAAGTACAACTGCCCAAAAAATACCTGCCCGGCCAGTTTAAAGAGTATCCCCAGTGCTGTCGTCCGCATAGCAGTATGTATTTATTATAATTATTATTAAATTAGGGAATATTAAAAAGTTAATAATTGAATCATAGTAGAGAAATTATAATCTATGGAATTTATCAACAGACAAAAGTATGAATAATTTTTCTTATACTACTTACCAAATCCGAGACCAGTGCCATCATTGACCAAATTTATTATCTCAACCTGTGCCCAATCTCCAATGACAATACTATTTGCAGACGCCAGTGACTCATCGTTTCTAGCTATTTCCAAAATACTTCTTGTCTGGAATATAAATTTATTTGGCTATTACAATTTTTTAATTAAACCTTTGTAAATTGTTTGCTTTTCCTGAAGTTATTTTTTATAAAATTATTGTGAATACAAAAAGTCATGAGTTATACTATATTATTAAATTTAATATAAATTTACCTGTTTTGGTGATTCAACAGATCCTGTATCAATTCCTAATATTCTTTCGGTCTCCCCAGATAAACCAAATTCAAGGCTTTGCGGTGGCGAAACCTGTGGAACTCTTTGTTCTTCATCTCCTTCATGTATTCCAAAAAAATTTCTTGTTTGTAAAGCAAGGTCACCTAAACATAAGAACTAACTAAATAAACAATGATACAAAGTTAAATCCACAAATACTAATGAAGACAAACATTTTCATATTCATTCAGATTTGCATAATCAATTAATATTATTTAACCATTCACCATCATAATTATTGAATTTCTTTAATAAGTACAATTTCATCTGAAAACAAAACCCCACACCCCAAATAAGATTTATAAGTATAAGTTTATTTTTATAAGAGTAGAGTGATTCTACGACTAAACCCAATTTAATGTAATCTAAAATATACCTGCAGGTGTTATATCAAAGTCATCTGGAATAATAGAAGGATGATGCGCAACCTGAGTAGTGAGCATGGCCACAGAATCCTGTAGTGTTACTATGCTTCTTAATATTGGATTCTCAAGCAAATTAATAAGCATATTTAAATCATCATTTGTTGCAGCCTAAAATTTATAAAAAATTAGATATATTATTTTTGTTATGTTTGTATATATATATCAAATCCAATACATTTCTGACACATGAGTAGGAATTATCGCGAAGTCTCGTTTCTAAAACATATAAAAGAGTTCGTTACAAAAATGTCCTAGTCAAACTAGGCTCATATACCTTAAATAATAAAATATTTACCTTTAACTTTGGATCATCGCTCGTATCCACAGCTATTTTGACGCTTTCTAGTTGTTGTAATGCATTTGAAATATTCATCCCTAAATGCATACTGAAATGTAATTACAAATAATGATATGTATACTAGACACTAAAAGCAATAACATAATATGTATAAAATATTACTGTGGAACACTAACTTTTCGTGTGCCTTCAGCATAAGTGTTAGTCTTTGTTAGTTTGTTGTTATAAACTATATAGTTGAATACCTTACGAAATATCACCTTTCACAAATAATAAATATTTAATTATAAAATTTATTAAATATTATTATATATTATATAATATGTATATTCATTAGACAGTAGAATTATTATCTTTTGAGTTTTGAATTTGTCACTTAAATGATATTGACAACTGACATGAAATAAGGGTTACCAACGCAACAAAACACCTTTATTTCGGGGATATTAGCACCAACATTGTCTTTTCATAATGTTACTTTTTAATTAGGTTGTCTTCTATTTTTGAAGATATACTTCTTTTGGGTTAGGGAAAAATGATGACAGTAAATTTATTCAATACGCACGCACACCGTCACAAAAAACCGACACCCTGAAGTTAGCTATAATCAATATTTTAGTTTTTTCTATTGTTAGTGGCGTTTTTTCTACAAACGTAGAATAATTTTTTTGAAAATATTTTTATCTTGTTACGCCAAAGAAGAATAACTTCTAACACGTGTACATAAGTACACATTCGCTTTTTTTATTTATGTTACTATTGTAAAACTCTCCAATGCTTAAGGTGCGGGACCTGATTAAGTTATTGAACTCGCGAGGATTGGCGTGGCTTCTTTTCCAATAATATATTTATAATTATTATTGTCGGTTGTGGTGTTTGGTTATACAGACTTAGGAGTAATTAGAACGGGAAAAATAATCGTAAAAAAAGGAAACATCAATGATTTTAATTCTTTTTTTATTATAATTATGTTCTGTAAAGTTTTGTCTGCATGCAATGAGAATTTTTACCATATTCTGAATTCAAATGTATTTTTCGGCGTAAAAATGGAATTCAAAGTTTTCCATCAGAATTGTATCTTTCCTTCTCTTTCTTTTCACCGGCATATATTTTTTGGTGCACCATCTCATCGCCAATCTTCCTTCATTTCAATCATCCAATCCTGGCTACGTGGACATATACTTGTTCTTGAAACTAAGTTTTGGGATAGAGATGTATGGGCACAGAAATTGATAAATTCATTATTGATTTACATATTGAGCCAGATATTGAATCTAACAATACACAGAATTAAAAAGAAGCTCTTCAGATTCAGACGAATAGAAAAAAAAAAGAATTGACTTTCTTATATTAATAAAAAATAAACTTTTTTTTATATTTTAATTACGAAAATAAATATGGCAACTGTACGCTCCCATTACCAACATAACAACAGCTGGAGGTAAAATAACTATGAACGGACTATAGATTACCTACTACACTAGAGTTTGGTGTCTACATTCTACACTATACATTTTTCTTATGGTTTATTATTCTGTAGTATTTTGTAGACTCTGTAATCTATATTTATGTAGTGAGTACATTGTAGATAAAGAAAATCTTCTACAAAGTTCTTTCTTTCTATTAAAAATATCAGATTTTATAAATGAAGTAATACTCTGGTTTTCCTTCAAAACGTTTAAAAAAAGGAAGTAATAGACATTTAATAGCAATTTTATCATCGTTTGATGATGACAGTAGTTTCTAATTCATTTATGAGTTACATTTTATAAGACCTAAAACGATCGATAGGACATTTTTAGTACATATAATTCAGTATGGCGGATTTAACTACGATTGATTTAACAAATTCTTTGTGTTTAGTAAATCACCATGCTTTGTCTAACTTAATTATTGAATTAGATGATACAGACGAGTCATTTTCTGGGAATATAGCTTTTGAGAGTACACCAATAAGAGCTCCATCGAAAAAATTACGACAATCACTCCTAAAAAAGAAGGTAAGTTCTTTTATTTTACATTTGGAATTGCCATAAAAGAATATCTACATTCCACACGAAACACTGTCAACCAAATTCCCTAGATGTTAACTTACTATTTTAGTTTTTATTATAAACAATCACATAACTTTGTTATGATTTTAACTTTTATTGTGAGCATGAAATATGTTTTTCTTATCAATATCTATTAATTTTTCAGAAATTAGACAAATCACCAGAGAACACACCAGATTCCAAAATAGGAGAATGCTCTATTTGTTGTGAAAGACTAGGGAAAAGACCAGTTTCATCGACAATTTGTGGACATATTTTTTGCACAACCTGTATAGAAACAGCATTACAACATGATAAAAGATGCCCACAATGCAGAAAGACAATGAAAGGAGCATATAAATATCACCCAATATATATACCATTACAATCTAAATGAAAAAATATAAAAGAGTATATGTCATTTATTTAACTTAATACTATACAACTTTTTACATAACTGCTTTGACAATTTATATTTTCTTTTATTCAAATGTATGAATTAATCAGTTGTTATCTTATATATAAGATTAATAGAGAACAATAGTCATCCAATGGTTCTAATGTTTTTAAAGGGATCAGTATTTTTCTTTTCCATTCCCACAATAATCTTCTATCTAATTTTAAAAAATATTTAATGTATAAATTTTATTTAGGTTATAGTTAAATACAATTATTCTGTTCTGTAAATTTAATAAGTATAATTTAACCACATGTAAATTTATTTAATGTGATGTGATATTATTTTATGACAAAAGCCCTAATCATAACAGAAGGTTTTGGCTTTGGCGACTTAGTAACTGTAAATTATAATAAATGCTCACTGCTTGAAGAATATTAAATGTCACTAGTATGAATCTGCTTATTATAACTGTACCTTTGCCCTTTAATTTAAGTGAGTAATTAAAATGTTATTACTATTTGTTTATAAGTATTTATTTTTCACAGTAAAATATTTCTGAAAAAGTTGATTTGGAATGGTTAAGAAGGGCTAACATAAATTTTATTTACAATCATCCACATTATTCAGTTTTAACTTTACTTATATAATGAAACTAAGGATGTTAGTTTGGTTTAGGAAGTAACAACTGAAAATCGCTTACTGTGGTGGATAATCCATTTAACAATGGAAAGCTACATAGCATCACACCTATATACTGTGCAGCACAGGTTGTATATAACATTTTAAATAATATGTTGCAAATCTAAAAACAACTTACACCACCATACAATAAATGAGTTACAGAAATTATATAATTACAGATTATATATATAGAAGAAAGGAGGAGCAGCAACAGTTATTAAAAACAAAATTGTCCTGCTATAACATTCAAAACATTGGAAAACATTGCAATTTATAAATTCAATATAATATGAATATAGTGACGTAATGTGAGGGACACAAACCTGAAGTAGGTAATAAAAAGTTTCTTATCTAAAAATATTATCCTTTTCTTTTTGTGGGCTCTTAGATTTTTGTGTGTTTTTAATTAAGAAAGCCATACCATGAACTCTATAATGTTTTTCCAAGCCGTTGGAATCTATGAATTTATCTCTACACACATTGCACTGATTTTCTTCAAGTGGCAAATTTTCCTCTGGTAGGACTTTCATTGTTTTCTCAAAAGCTGCTTTATTGAAGCAATCTTTATTTTTAACATAATACTCTACATCAGGTATATTGTGTTCCAATAGTAAATGTTTGGAAAATGATGGTTTTACTGCTAAACAATTACCACATTCCATACATTGGTAAGCCATATCTGGATCCCTGTGAGTTTTTATATGGGATTCAAAAGATATTATATCTTCAGTATTGTAGTTGCACTTCGAACAGTTGTGGGATTTTTTAAGTATTTCTTTTGTAGAATTATTAATGTTGATTTTATTATAGTGTGGTTTAATTGTACTTGGTCTTTTTTTCTGTTTAAAATGTTTGGTAATTTTTTTTGTTGATGCATTATGTGACCTGTTTGCATATTTCTGAAAACTCTTTGAGTTTAATTTACTTACAACCAATTTTAAGTCTAAATATTTGATACTTTTATGAAATTGGTTAAAATGCTTTTTAATATCTTCCCAATTTTCATTTACTTCAATTTTGCATACATGGCACTTTATATTATGATTTTTGTTAAGCTGATTACTGAAGCTTTCCACAAATATAGTTTCTGGATTGCCATTAAGAATGCAATAAAAACATTTCTTGAATCTTTCATGGCTCTGTTGCCAATACCATAATGTCTTATGACAAGAATCACAGTTTTCATATTTAACAGTCTTTATAACATTTACTAATATTTTATTGTTAGTATAGGACCAATGTTTAGATATATGGTGATTGAGAAAATCATACACATTAGACAAAGTTAAACCACAACTCCAGCAGGGGAATATTTGACTCTCACGATTTTTTTGAGTCACCTGGAAGTGCTTATCAAGATGCTTATGAATTTGACTTGAACTTAGAAAATTTCCAGGACAGCGCTGACATTCAAAATATGTTGAATACTTAGTTTTATTACAACACCTCATTACATGTTTCAGAACAGCATTTTCACTGTAACCAGCTAGATAACAATTAGGACATTTATATATTTTGTTTAAATGGCAAGATTTCAAATGCATAAGAAAATTATTTGGATGAATTGCTGGACAAGTACTATTTATGCATTTTATTCTTGATGTTACTCTCATCATTTTAAAACCATCACAATCATGATTATACGGGTACATACAGGTTCTAAGGCTAAGGTATGCACCACATTCTGAACAAATGAATGGAGGAGTTTTTAAATGTATACGAAGATGGGCAATAAGTGCACATGATGATGGTAATGTGAATAAACACACAGGACATGTCAGCATTCTTGTTGTTCGCATGTAATGTAAAGCTCTGTCTTTTTCAAGAATTCCAGTAACAGCTATATCATCCTTACATTCAAAACATGCATATTTAATGTGCTTAGTTATTAAGGTATCATTTTCTTGGTTGTGTTGAGAACTCTGTACCACTGATGTTATTAATGGTAATGGTTCCACCTTTATATCACTTAAGTTTATTGTAGCAGTTTTAGTCACATGAGAGCGTATATGTGATAAAAACTGGCACCTATTAAAGAATTCATTTAGACACCCACAGTACCTGCATAAGTATTTGATCATGAAAGATTTTCTGTTTATATGTACTTCTAGGCTAGACTCAAACAAAAACCTGAAAAATAAAAACACCTTATTATAGTTTTACTGAAATGATGTATAAATTAGTGAATTTTAAGTCTTGATTTTTGAATGAACTTGATTTTTTTTTTTTTTTTATGCTCACCTGTCTCCACAATCAGTACAAGAGTGAACTTTGTATCCATCAGTGGGTATAGGTATTTTATAATTAGGCATTGCCTTTGTAAACAGGATATTCTGAATACTGATTTTTTCATTCATAATTATATCAGAGGCCATCTTCAGAGATTGAACACTATACTTCTGCAAAATTAATTATCTATCATTTATTACTTTATTAGGGAGGTGGTTGGTTTGTTTTACTATTAATTATTTAGTATTAGGTCATGTTTAGTTGTCAAACAATACTAATAAACCTTATATGAAATTAACAATTGAGCAGAAAGGAAATACTATAAAATAGTTATATGGTAAGTGTTCATGATTTTAGATGAGTTGGTACCTTGATATACTTAATTTATTGCATTAAAGGTTAATTTATTGTAATTATTTCGTACCTGCTAGTTTTTTAATACTTTTCTATAAATTATTTGTAATTCTAGTTGAATAGGTATTCATGATTGTAAGACTTTTCATTTCTCAGTCCTCTTTAGGTCGGCCACAATTTTTGACGGAAAAAATAGAGTGTCGCCATTATCAAAAAATGTGTTAAGTATTGCCATATTTACAATATTTTTAATTATTATCCTATTGCCATGTTACATAATCTCTACAGTTAACAATGGTTTTAAATAAAAATATTAACATATTATATAATTTATTTTTATGAGTATTGATGACAAATTTAGCTATTCTAGTTTCTAAGATAATTTTTCATATTTAATAAACTCTTGAATATAAAAGAAATGACCATAGACTATGAACTTATTTGTGAATACTGTTAATATAGGGGTTCTAATGCCCGCCTTCCACTGCGTGCGGAACGGACCCATTACGGACTCCGCTGTACTCGTAACGATGATTTTCATACATGTGCTTCCACCAAAGCGGAGAGAGCGAGTTGAAATAGTTACATATGAGGTTAGCGAGTGGACCGAGTTTCCCACGAACATGAAAATGTATGAAAATCATCGTTACGAGTATAGCGGAGTCCGTAATGGCTTGCACAGCATTTATACAGCTGCAATTTATTTATACTTGCGAATACGGCTGAAAAGTTGTCTTATACATCTTCAAATCATTGTAATTATAGCTAATGAAATAACTACCTATACAAAGCTTTCATTTGAATTCGTTATTTCTGTGGAAAATTGCATACAAATCCGTACGTACGGATTTCATAATCGGATCGGCTAGTAAGTATTTCTTTATTGTAATATTTTAACATTTATACATTTTAATGGTTTTATTACTTGTAGAATATTATATGTCAGGTTAGGTACTTGTATGTAAGTATATAATATGTATATTGTTATATATTGATGAAATTACGGCACTATAGGTAATATTATTTTACAAGATTTATTGTTTAATGCCCTATCCATATAGAATACAACATGGGTAATACAAAAGTATATATTATAACAACATGATACAAAAATATTACTAATATAATATCAATTGCACTATTATCATCACTTATGTTTCATAATAGGTATATCTGAATAATACCCTCGTTTCATAATTTTGAAGTAGATTTTAGATATTATTATACCTTATTAGTAGTTTCAACGTCATCACTATGATTTTCTTGACGAAAAAACGTGATTAACTGTTTTTCATATGTATCTCTTTTTAAATAATGAACAACATCAGATCTGACAACAAAAGCACTGTCATCAATTAATGTGCTGTAAATTTTCTTATTTTCCAACATATCTTCATCATTTGGCAATAGAAGTAAATAGGTGGCTACTGCTTTTCCCATATCATCCAGCCTGTCTAAATTATAATACGATATTTGTATATAATTTAATAGGTCGGCAATAAATTCAACACCAGAATTGTAAAGCGGTTTCAGTTCATCTTGGCAGGTTTGCTTACAAATTAGAAGTGACGCCATGTAGTTTGATATTGTAATTGTTATTTCTGGTGACCACTCTTGTTCGGGCTGACGCTCACATTCCATTCGACAGTTGTTTTCCCAAGAAAGATAATCATTTAATGCTTCTTCCATATTAGCAATTGTTTCACCCCATTTCTTGGTGTGATATGATTTAAGACCCAGTCTGTAAAGGATTTGATAGTCATCACTTTCAAGGTCAACCACCTCGTTTATGTCAACTTCAGGCTGATTTAAATAGTAGTCTAAGTTTTTCTTCATTTTTGGATCGTCTGGATTAGTAACTAGGAATGTATAGGAAGCTGATGCTGCTTTTGACATAGCATACATTTGGAAGTAACATAGGTGCAAATATTCATATGGTTTTCTAGACTGCATATTAAAAATTGTTGAATCTGATACATTATTATACATACGTACATCTTCAAAAGCGTGATTATTGCAGTTTATCAAACACTGTCTTGCGTTGAAATACAATTCATATATTTTAAGATCTTCAATATTATCTTGGATTCTTGTAAACTGAGCATCATGCTTGCATTTCAGTCTGCAGTTGATTAAAATCCTTTTATAAACTTTATATAAATGTAGTGATTCTTCTAATTGCACAATACATTCAGACCATCTTTCATTTGAATAGGCTTCCACCCCTTTTTTGTACACTACATCTAAAGATGAAAATTTTAAAGACTCTACTTGTATAAATGAAGCAATCAAAAGTATTATTCCGACCCTTGACCACAACATTTTAAACTTGCGATTAGTACTAAAATTTATGACAACTTTGAATAGTTAATTATAATACCGAGTAAGCACTGTATTAGAATTTAATTAATAACCGAGACGTTAAAACTGTTCATAACTATTTCCTTTGCTTCAATTGAAACGTGTGAGCGCTGTACGCTTGTTCCAGTTTCGAGATCGAATATCAACTAGCAGTATAATTATTATTATTCCCTACGCTCCAGTTTTATCGCACACAGCCACACACGACATGTGTGCCACGACCCGGCAACATCCCATCAAGTAATGTTTAACCTATATCGAAAATCTAAATTTCTAAGAGTACAGACAGCGAGGAGCGACTATATTTAAAATATAGGTATACCTAATTTCAGGTTATTAAACATATAAACCTTCCACGTGAAACACTTCGTCTACAAAAAAAAATCCGCCCACAATATTTTTTATTTTCCACCAAAATTAAATCTGTTGCGTAATTTAATAGATCTAAGCTAGACCTACACGCGGACTAGACGCGGCTACTTTGTTTTATACTTCGGAAAGATACACATACATATTTTGTTAATTTAGTGAAAATATTTTGTAAATATTTGTTTTGCAATTTTGGCCTGCATAAAATCATACGGCGCTAAAGTACATTAATCTAAATACAAAAATGGAGAAATTTGTTTTGAGGGTGACCGGTAAAAAAGTAATATCACTCCTATGGAAAGTGATTAAACACTGTGATACTATTTTCTTCGCATCTTATATTTTATAACACTTTAAAAGCAAAGATCTATAAATATATAATACCTAAATACTGTTGTTTTTAAATCTCTATATTATAACGTCTGACATGATTGAGTTGTCAGTGATCAAAGGGCCAGAAATTTGTCAAAAATTAGTCAACAAACAACAAGCAAGTTTTATTTTATTTTTCATACAATATATATAGAATATGTCGTACAATAATATGGTTCTCGTCGGTAATTGGAGCGAAGAAAGATTAAAAAACGAAGTAAGTATTTCTTTAGTTGGTAATTCTTCAAGAGCTACCGTCTCCGTGGCTTATTTGATCAATACCTACTTGGTGAATTTAATTTAACCATGAAGTCCTGTGTTCGTTTATCGGCGAACTGCTGTAAAAAGTAATGATTTGAAGATTTTAATCGTTTAGTTCAATAAAAATGGTGTGAAAAATACAGCAAAGGAACATGACTCATTTTTGTTATTATATCGCTGCATTTTTGTAACAGTTTATTATAAAATATATATATATATATTTTTCCCAGTATGACTTCAAGATTTTTTTGCGTAAAAGGGAAAGAAAAGAGCTATTGTTGCAAAGATCAAGGACATTGTTTAGTAATTTACTAAAAGAGGTAAGTGTAATCCAACTATATTATTATCGTCAAAGATCTTTAATTGACATATATATTTTTACAGAGACCTCTGGCTATAAGTGGGACTTTTGCTCTCTTTGGGTATAATGTTCAGCTGGTTGCGTCTGATATGCCAGGTACGTATTGATAACCTCCTCCTTCAGTTTTAAATTAAAACTTGGTTAAAAATAAATGCCCAGCCATGCTAAACCGGGACTGGCCGAAATTAATTATTCTCCTAAATGTGATATGTGTGTGTGGTATTAAATATACATTACATACATATTGCAACAAATCCTATGTAAACTGTTTATCATAAAATGTTAAATTATAATTATTGTGAATTGGCTTGGCTCTATGTGAAAATAATTATCGTTGATTTTAAAAATGAAGTATCTACTATTTACATAAAGCTGTCATTGTAAAACCTTTTTTTTAAATTATCTTTAACTTATCCTGAGAAATTCATGCAATTATGTTTCAATAAAATAATATCGGACAAATAACTTGCTTGCTGGTACTTTTGTAATTTTAAAATATCCCTTTAATGAATTTAAGCGAAGAAAGTTAAAAGGAAATCAATCATCATTACATCACACATAAAAAACTGAATTAATTTTGTAATTTCAATATCAAATAATGTGCATAAATCACAGCTAAAACATGTGGAGGTAAACCTCAATATGGCCTGGCGCTTTCTAGTCTTGTGAAGGAGAGGCAAGTTGACTTTATGCAAAATATTAACGACGGCTGTCTCATGACCCTATCGGCAATCACGACGCCATGTTGCAGAAACACATTTGTTATCTTAAGGTAACGTTTTACTGTGGAAAACTTGCGCGCAATAGGTAACTGAAACCGGCCCACGTTGTCTATAAGAATGAACAGAACAGGGCATAGGAGGGACGTATTTCTATATAGATTACTTTTCTTTGAGACAGGCGACTTTTCTATGCCTGATAAAAGATTACGATTTTTATGAACGTAGGTTTCATCTATCGTTAGAAGACATCCGACAGGTTTGAGCTGAGTTTCCACAAACTGATTTAGTACAACAACAGTGATAACTGATAACTTAAAAAAAAAGTAATATTAGTGTTTCAATAAAATATTGTAATGTCTTAAAATTGTGTCGAAATGGCAATCTTGGTTCAAGAGCTCTCAATAGTTAAAAAGGGATTTTACTGTTATCCTATATTACCTATCTATAACTGGGTATATTAGTAAATTCAGTTTTAGCTAAGATGTTTGGCTTTTTTATTGCTCACATAGGTTAATTATAATGTTGTTTAAGAAACAAGTATTTTGGAACTTAATCCACAGCGTCAAGGATGAAAGCTTGCGAGGAGAAAAGATAAATTATGGCGATGAGTTTCTTTTAAGAGCTGAAAATTATGGTGAACCCGAGGTAAAGAACTAGGGTAGGGCGGGGCTAGTTGAGCAATTTTTCACTTGCTTGGATATAGCTCCTCAATGATAAGTCTCAATGAGTTGTTATGTGTCCTGATGGATTAGTAATTTATCCCTTAACAAAAGTGTCCATAGTATTTTTTTGTAACAAGTCCAATATAATAGCTACAGATGTTTAAATGCAGAAAGTCAAGTATGCTCAATGTACCCCATAGGTGGGGTAAGTTGAGCAAGGGTATGGGGCAAGTTGGGCACTAAGAATGTCTAGGCCAAACCATGGGTTCTATGTTAACTTGAGATGAAATAAAATATGTGTTAGACAGTCAGCTTTTTGTTTATAGTCTTTTATTGACAGAACAACAAAATTTGAAGAAATTTTCTTTGTATAATTAACCGAAACTAGAATCAACAAAACATGAGCATCCATATCTATCCATTACTTCCGATAATTTCTAAAAAAAGATTACCAAGGCTGGTGGGTTCTGGTTTCTGTATGGATAGCTACGATTTTTTTGTTTTTAAAACATCATCAACCATTCTTTTCCGGAAATCTTTTTTGCAATTCAGCTTGGTGGAATTTCAGCACACTCTTAGGCAAGGCGACGGACGTCTTTTGGAGAAAAATGCCATTTGCAGCAAGAATTTTTTCAACAGTTCTCTTGTGAGAGAGGATATACTTCCCTCGGTGTTGTATAGCCCATAAATGAATCATCACCTTCATTTAATTTATTTAAAAGTCAACCAATTCAGAATTCTTTAGCGGCGGTATTCACACTTTTTCCCTCATCGTGGACAGCCTTTGCAGCATTATTTAAGTATTCAGTAGTGTAAGAACATCTTGTAGTCTTTCTCTTGTAAGTCCGCATCCAAACAAAAAATAAAAGATTCATTACTCATCAGTTGTTTAAGTCGTAGAGTTAGTTGAGCTATAGTTGCTCAACTTACCCCAACCCGGAATTTTAAAAGAAAAGTAGGATTGTAAATAAATGCCTAGAATTAGACCCAAAACCTATTTACAAATCAAAAATACAATAATCTTCTGAAAGATTAACACTCTCCTGATTGAAAACAGAGAACATTTGACAAAGACAGACGAAAACTTGCGATAAACAATGTTTTTACTTTTTGGTCACAAAATAAACAAAACGCCGTGACACTTCACTCACTCGTCGAGCTGCCACTAGCTATTGTGCGATGATTACCTCTCCTACCACTCCTTCTTTTCGCTATTTGATACTCCCGCGTAAGGTGAATAGTTTCCGAGATATTTCGATTGCCCAACTTGCCCCTATGCTCAACTAGCCCCGCTCTACCCTACTGAATTTGTTGACTTACGAAATAATATTAAGGAATTATCTCGTAGCACTCGTAGTAAGTATAAAGCACGTTTTAAAATGCCGGTAACTTACGCGAGGCTTATTGCAGGAACACCGGGAGTCATTAATGTGTTCTTTTAAAAAAAACACGTTGAATTCACAACCTCCTTCTTCGTTTTTTTTTGAAGTCGATTAAACAATATCTACAACAAAATGAATACGGTGAAACAAAACAAACATAGCCTATATGTATTCACATACAAAGCATAAAAGCACCAAAATAATTAAAGAACTATATTATATTGTATTTAGCTTAGTTTTGTTTATCAAGGCAGCCCCGTTATATGTTCGTTACACAACGGAGGCAGTGCCCGGGCCGGCGGATAGGATGCCAATTCGACTGAGTTCTACAAAGGATTCCAATTGTCGATGGACTACGATGCCATTGCTAGCAAAAGACCGACTAGAAGGGCTTGGCAGTCCCATTAAGGTGCTTTGTCTAACGAATTACAACTCACATTACCTACCAATACACACACAAAGATTGTACTGCATATGCTAGATTAAGTAAAAGAGCGTATTTGGAAAGAAGCGTCATCATAAGTTGTTTGAAGATTTTCAATTATCATTTTTCGTCGACTAAGACTAGATGTAAATTTTATCTTTATTTATGTGTTCTATCTCTTTTTGGATTTAGACTAACTGATTTATAGTCCCGTATTATAAGAATGTAAGCTGAAAATTTTGGAACGTTTTCACGATTATTCGAATATTATTCTTAAATATGTTCTTGACTCGACGTAGACAAAATCGCAATTATCTGGATACTAATTAATTTATGAGGTTATAGTTATCTTCTATCATAAAAAAAATAGTTGAAATGCATAAATAAAAGATTCTATCTACGACGAATACATAATATTTAAAGTAACTAAGGTACTTGTACATAGTGTGAAAGTTATAAAAATTTTCAGACGGGAGCAAAACTCATAGTTAAGAATTGTGTGGCTGACAAAAGTTTGTGTGTGATGAATCAGAATTGGATGCAAACCTTTTTCGGTCCGGTAAGTCGAGAAACTTCATAAGTAATCAGTTTTGTACAAGTATAACAGTAAAAGTTATGCGATTGAGGAAACTAACTTAGCTAACTGATTTGGTAAGTAAAGATAACGGTGATGTAAAAATACTTTGTTTCAAGAGACTCTTTTCCTATGTTAGAGTTTTAGTTATCAAATTGACGTTAATTTAGATAAAACTAATAAAAAACAACTACATTTCTGTGTATGTTACAATGAATAATAATTACAATTTAAGTTAAAATACACTTTAAAACGTGTTTATAATTCCAACAGTTGTAAAGTTGAATTTGAAATTTTAAAACTCTATGCGTGCTTTATAATCTGTGTCAAGTTGAAACCGAGGAGGTTAGACACAAAAAAATTTAACATTTTATAATGGAACTCGTATTATGAGCAGTGCTTGCGTGCGTGCTCGACTAATCATGAATGATCGCGCGTTCCATAGTCAATATCATGAACGATTAGGAGTTATTGCATAACTCATTAATATTAAGAGTTTAAGATAATGTCAATAAACTTAGCGAACACCCTTATCTGAATATAACTTTATCACTTTGTTTGAGGTAATTGATTCATAATTAAATAAACAGGAGTGTGGTGTTACGTGTCGTGATTATATTAATATTCACAAAATGTACACGGCGGAGAATATATTCACTCTAGTTAGCGATGTCGAGACCAAAACTAAGGATTGAGGAGTTCATTACATGATATGTTTGTGCGAAATTAGCAGTGTGCGTACGTAAATGTAGCTAAAATTTTTGAATAAATGATTTATTTTCTTTGAATTTTATTTTATCAAATGGCTGATGTTGCTATCATCGCTTATACAATAAACAAAGACGTTGGTAATTTACATGGAGATGGACGCTGATCTAGAGGTACTTTATGAGATATATTTATACCTATAATATAAAATATTTTATCTGCATATAAAATTAGTCGGTTTTGGTACATTAATACTTCGTCTTGTATGCTGAATACTTTTTGTAAAGGCTACGAAATATATTCCCTTGGGTTTATGTTTTAAATGTATCTAAAAAGGTTCTAGATCTGGTTTATTTGACACGTAGTTTCAAGTGAATAGCTTTGTCCAGTGTCACTAAATTGTGTAAGCTTCCTGTAATGGTTTTCTTAAATATAAGTTTTTAAACAAAAAGGTCACGTCTATAATCTGCCGTCTTCGTATAGGGCACGCTTGTACTCCCGTTCATCTAGCCAAAATTAAAATTAAAGACAGTTCTCTCTGTGAGTGTGGTATGGACGAGGGCTCGACAGACCATATATTTTTTAACTGTTCTTTAATTAATGACTCGTTATTTGACCATCTTTCTTCAGATTTCCCTCGTCCATGTAACCTTAACTCCCTACTTTCCCTCCCATCCAGCTCGATCGTCAAAATTTTAGGGAAATTTATTTCTGTTAATAAATTAAAGTTATAAATAAGATTCTCCCCTCCATACCTTGTAGTAAAATGTTAACCTCTTGTATATATTATTAGATGTCTGTGTGTGTTGTATTTATTGTGATGTCATTTTTGTTTTGGGTAACTCTGCTTAGATAAAATTCAATCTATCAAAATTATCAAATCTATCCTCACTGTGTGAAGACTTAGAACGTGACATTGGCGGAATTGTGATTTACACAGATGTCGCCATTATAAATAAAGTGAAGTGAAGTGGTTTTCTTAACATATTAACGTTATAGGTATGGTACATGTAGCTGGAAAGCTTTGTTGTTTAATCTGTTTTTTTTAATCTGTGATATGATGTGACGCGATACCGCTAACCATTGACACCATGGACACATTGCAAGAAGGCCCGCTAGTGCGTTGCCGGACTATTAGGAATTGGAACGCTCTTTTTAATATGCATATTTAAGTCCGTCTTCTAAAATATGGTGATTTATATTGGTTTAAAACTAGTTAAATGGTTGGTATATAAGTAAGTAACGTAATTGTAACATTATTTTATCTATTATTTGGTGTTGTAATTATTTGTCAAAATTGACATAAAAAATCAAAATGACAATCTTGATGGAAAATAATTGTGTATAGTTAGAATTTACCCATCTCCATATAGCGGTCAACTTTGCTACATAGTTTTTATTTACACCATAAAACCATTGTTCATATCAAATAATGTCGAAACATGAAGAAGATAAAGGAATTGTATATTGCAACAGAGTACGTCTTGGTAATTGGTATGAAGCATCGAAGTTGGAAGAGGTTTGTAAAAGTAGATTCAGTTACAATGTGCTTTGAAAATTTTTATACAATGTAGCTTATATTTCCATACATTTCTTCGCAGTATAAACTTAATAAGTTTCTTGAGCAAATGAAATCGGGAAATTTAATGTTGGCTCGATTCCGTAAAATGACTGAAAACCTTAACAAACCAACTGTATTGACTCAGTCGTCGGGGAGTATCGGATTTGGTGCGAAAATAGCCCTCCTCGCTCCCCATGTGCCAGGTTAGCAATAAAATAAGAATGACGTTTTGCGAATCCTATAAGGGCCAAGGGTTCGCTAAAATAAGCATAAATTTTCGACTTACATTAACTTTGTGGAATAGACGCTATTTATTATATCATTTTTAAAAGTATTGGAACAGGACAGATTACTCTGGTAAACTGTAGTTTCTTCTACACGTGTGATTAATACGTCATTATTTATTTTATTTATTTATTGATAATCTTGCAGGAAGCACCATATTACAAAAGTAAACACATATTCAATACACAAAATATATGTAAACAGAAAACATAAGTACATTAATAGACATAACAAAAGAAAATATAAATTAAACCTTAAACAAACTCAATTAATACTTAATATTAAAAAAAAAACTAAATTGTTACTGCTAAGCAAAGTCAAGGTCTTCCCGCTTCTTCAAATATTCCTTCACATCCTCTTTGGTAAGGTGGAAAATATCAACATCTTCATAATTAGTGTCATAGCTAACACTAAAACTCGGAACATTGGCGAATTACACAGATAATTAATGTTCGTACGAGGCAAATGGAACAATTGCGAATATCTTGTGGCATACGGTGTAGGGATTCTTAGAGAAATTAACGACATCAAATAGGTGCTATCTTACCGCCCTTTAAAAATAGCGTTATTATTATTTAGGATTTTCCTTGAGTTTTACTTTTAAAGCCCATAAAATATTCAATCACGCAGCGTCTACAGACGAAATAAGTGTATCTCAATTGCTTATACATATTTCATTTCTACTATAACTTTTCACCAAGTTCTTCACATATTTAGCTTCAGATCCTCCTGCTGAAGATAAAAAAGGTTTATTATTAGGCGGTCGTATATCATCCAACGAAATCAATTATTCACAAGAATTAGAAGATGGATGCGCAGTGATTGGCTTATCAGAACTTGAGCCGATGGAACGAAATACATTTATTATAATGAGCGCAGATTATTGTAATAGAGAAGGTGAACAACTGAAGTATAATCAAGAGTTTCTTCTAGCAATTAACTCTTCTGTTGAAAAGAAAAAGGTAGAAAAAAGAAAACAATAATAGTTTTAAATATGTGTATTCTAGTTTTCAATTATGTAGTTTTAATTCAGAAGAATATGTTAGTTATTTCTTGTAATATTGCGAACATTAAGATTAGGAAGAATTAGTAATGTCACGCAGGACAATGCATGTATTTTTTATTTACTATATCGAAATCGAGTTGTCATATACATCTATCTAGGTAATAGGAATAATTAAATATTTTAATAAATAATAATAATTAATCTTATTAGATCGTCTGATAGACCAGGGTAGAAGCCTTGAAAAAAAATAAAAAGTGAAAAAAAATAGTAGGATTATTTTTTTGATTTCAAAATTATCGACCCTGGTCTATGAGTTTACTTCAAACTTGTTAGTTTTCCTAACAGTTTACATGTTACTGAAACCTCTAAAGCTTAAAGTAACTTAGTTATATAAGTTTATTTTAAGTTTATAGTGAATTTAGAAAGTGTAATACTTGTTTAATAAGTTACAATCTTTGTGTATTTAAATTAATTATACAGTTTTTTTGTTTATTATTAAACCTATTACATCAACACTTACCGAAATAACAACCACCTTGGTGGAGCGTATATACTGTGCATCCTTATCCTTATATATGGCATACTTTGTTTTTGCCGATATATCGGTACATTCACGATACTTTTCAAATTTCGCGCTTAAAAAGGACCGTAAACGCATCTTGTTTGATTATGCGTTGCAAACGATCCGACTATCTATCCCCTCTCACCCGCTTTCTCCGTATATCATTCACTAGTTGGCTTTTAAATCCTATGCGGCGGGTAGTTTTTTTCGATACCAAATGAAATCAAATACAGAATCAAAAAGCATATCAATGTTAATTTTAATTATTAACAGTTATTTATTTCATTTTAATTTAATTATTACTCTTAATAATTAATTCTTAATTTTAATAACTAAACCTTTAATCTTTTTCAAATTTTGTGACTGTTAAAAATTTTAAAACTTTAACCAAACTTTTTTTTTACCTTAATTTAATTTTAATTCAATAAGCGTTGGTATCGGTATCGGTATGCGATATTTCTATAAGAGTATCATCGGGGGCGGAGGGGGAAAAGGCATATCGATGCATCCCTACTATATACCATAAATTTTGCTAAAACATTATAATTGACGTTTGTGTGGTCTTAGTTTATTTTTGCCGATACTAATATAAATACAATATTGTCTGGAAAATTAATTTATTATTATTACTTTCACTATTTTTTTGTCCAGCCTTTGTACCTCAGATACGACCCTAACCCGATCCCAGGGTTGTGTGGTTTGTACCCTCTGTATTTGAGCAAGCATTACGTATCGAACACTAGATGGCGCATCTTGCCCGTTCAGAGTCCCTACATAACTCGCTTTGAACAAGAAGGAAAACCTGTTATGGTATGTAAATATCTAGTATTTCTACAACTATTTATGGGCCTTAGATTTCAGCATTTAGTCGATCTCTGGAGGCAACTAGGCAACAAGCGATCTGTGTCTGACCTATGTCTGTACGTATTCGATTGTTAAGATCTCTAAGACATGCCACTTTCCTTCAATGTTTTCCTTCACATACGAAATGAGTGTGTTATTGCGAACATATGAAAAAAATATCTTAGCCAACAGGCTATACATGTATAGTCGGTTAAATTATAAGACTAATAATTGTAATAATTAAACGTGGTAAAAGAAAGTAAAAGTATGTTTTCTTAAAATAATTTGTTTCAATTAAGGAGTAATTAACTTCGGCATAGAAATGTATGGAAAATTTTAATTGCATATTTGTCGTTCGTGAAAATTAATTTAACATTTCAAATATATAATTTGAAAGGATTCTGCTATTTCCGACCACTTCCTATAGTAAATATAAAAAATAAACAAACAATTTGCCAGAATTCACTTCACGCGTATAAATTTACACCATTATAAGTATAAAGACTACGTCAGACAATTACATTTTATTTGATTCACTGAAATCGACCTTAGAACGTAACTACATTTCCATAGATGCCCGTTTTTTTTCAAAAGATTTTATTTTCCATTACCCCAAGCCTGACACTAACGTTATTTTCAAACGTATTCTATTTGATAATAATTTATTGACATTTCAGGTTAATCAAGACATTATAGTAAATCACTGTGCCACAAATGTTAATTTGGGTATAAATGTCGGTTGCTGGGTGATGGGGTTTTATGGAAAGGTAATCAATTTGCAAATTTATTGTAATAGTCTCCTCCCATATTAATTATTACTCATAATATATTATGTATACGACACTGTAGTTTCCGATTGGATCTTTATGATATGTTTTAAGTAACCGTTTCTGGAGAAAGGAAGGTGCTCCTTCTAAATGGAGGATTCCCGACCAGTTTTACAATTGAAGGCCCCAGTGGCGAAGGTCGAGAAAGTGTAGGTATACGAGTCCAATAAGTACTTAGCCTCACCGCCCGATAACACCACTATCGCAAGAGCAATTTTACATAGCTTAGAACATTCTCGAATATGTCGAATAAGGCGCCACGGAGGCCTCCAGACGACGTATTTTTCAGACGTTAAAGAAGTTGGAACTCCAAGGAGTTATATAGAGTGTATGTTGAGAAACAAATCGCCACTTTAAAAAAAAAAAAAAATAGGATAACTACTTATCAGAACACCGTCATATATCCCTAGCAGTCAGAATAATTTTGTTGACGCATTTCAGGATATGGCGTCATCACAGTGATTGTACGTTTCGCAAGACTTTATATCAAAATGAACGAATCTAAGTTTGGCTATCAAAAATGTTGACCATACCACTGTGTTTAAGATACTCTACTTTATGTGTTTTCAGGTTTGTACGCCAATTATGAAAACAAGCTTGGATATCTACGGGAAGGAGTTACCTAATAATATTTGGCAAATTTATATTCCTATCGCTAGCTAAATCTTGATTGTTTCTGTTTTATAAACATTTAGTTCGGAGCACTAATTTGTTCTGAATAAATATTTTTAATCTGGAACATTCTTATCAATATTACAGACAATGGTAGACTAAGACTTGTTATAGTCTCATTTATTATACGCCACAATATCTAAAGATTCCCAACTTTTACGTTATCTTGGAGAATATGAATAAACCATGTGCTTCGTTATAAGATCTGAAAACATCATGAATCACAAATCAATCCCTTAGTCTAATGAGAAGTCTGAATACTTGTTTATATATAATAATCTTATACAAAATAATTGATTTTCACCGATTACCGGACATTGCTGATTTCTATTATAATCTAAAAGGCGTTAAAAACTTGTGATTTTGGAAGTCGAACATCCACTACGGATTTTTTACCCTTAAGCAAAAGGGATAAGTAAAAAGTTAATGACATAGTTTAAAAATGTTTTGTCATTTTTTTGCGATGTAACATGAAAGTTTCGGACATTAAAAACCTATTGGTGATATGAACGCTTAACAATAACTGTACATACTGGTCAACACCGTATTGTATTAAATGTTACTGTTTGGTTTCTTATTAAATTTTATGTATTTCGAGCACTATGACAAAAAAACTTTGTTGCGTTTCATGGTGGTTTAATAAAACTTTAGTTTAGCCGTAATTGGGTAAAAAGAGGTGGCAATTAAATAGCTATTGTATTTCTGCTTTGACGTCCAAGTAAGTGGCGTCTATTAATAGTTCTCAACCGTAAATGATTAATGGAAATTCGGAGCTTTACATTACTAAAAAAAGAGTCACTTTCACATAGTCTGTTTTCCATCAAAATGTTTATATAAAATACGTAAAATAATGGGATAGCGGTCATCACGCTCGTTTGTGCAGGAAATGTTTGTCAAGTTAATTATACTTTTTGTTTCTGTTAATTTGGCACCATTTCATGCGCAACCCAATTAAAATAAATACTGTTTTATTTATACAGCAGGGCTATCAGACGGGTCAATAATTGTTTGTATCTATTGAACAAGAGGAATGCTTTAACATGAGGGCACTGATTTGGAATATATGGCAAAAACAATGGAAGTATTATATTTTGTGTTATTAATACAATTCGTTATACATTAGTTACCTACATTATATATAGTTTTAATCAAATAAAAAAGTATACTTTAATATTATGAATTTCTCTTTAAAAAATCGACGGATTGATCAGTACTAATGGTGGCACTTTTCATAACAAAGTATCCTCCTTATTTCCAGATTTTAGTTGACATATTGTGAATAGTAATGAGAAATAAAGTTAAATAGGCCGTACTCTTTTGAAGTTCGAAGTATGTCGGTTCGAGCGCGCTCTACTTTTACCTTAATTGCAAATGTGTATAATATCAGTGAAGAATTTATACTCCGTGATGTTGGTGCTTTTTAATGGGCTGAAAAAGACATATTTTTTTCTAAAAGATTTTGCGCATGGATTAAGTTTCTTTGAAATTAAATATCAACGACGAAAATAGTATTTTATTCAATTCCGTCTTCGCTCTTAAACCCTGTACAGAAGACTGAAAACTTAATTAGTCAACGTGCAAACCGACTTACATTTTGCATCCTCATGTCTTTGTACTAGACAGATGCGTACTATTTAATATTAATATGTATAATATCTGTTCAAAGCTAAGCTTTGCCATCTAGTATTGATTCGAGTGCAGGTATTTCCAGTAAATTGTTCTTGTAAAGGCAGCAAAATTTCGAAACTAATATCCTTTAAGAAGGTCGTGGGGTGTGCAGACTTGAAAGGATTCTAGGCACGTCCCGACTGACTCTCGCGTGACTGTGCACTTGCAACTATTTCACGTGTTTGCTCGTATTTATGTGCTTTGAGAGATTGTTCAGTAACTAGCCGTATTATACAACAATTACTTAATCTAGAGTCCAGATCTTTTACTTTAACTTTGTCTTGTGAACTTTAACAATAGTATGGTAAGGTTTGTGTTTAATTGGGAATTAGTAGCATTCTATTGCTTATTACTAAGGTCTTTCGGGGGTTTAATTGTAATAAGATGCAGAACAAGAAAAATTGTGATATTATAAACTCGCTCATGGTATGATTTGATTTCTTTTGAAGTTTTCACAATATTTTGTACACAATTAATCTTTCTAGTAAAGGCCAAAACTATATAATAATATAGCTGAAACAGATTTGTATAAAAACAATTTATTTTTCTATTTACATTAGCTAATAATAAAAGTTTAAAACAAAAGTAACATGGGTCATAAGTTGTAGGTGAGCACCCTTCTGTGCCCGACACCCGCCGTCGACTTTTTGGTCTTAGGCATGCCGATTTCCTAACGATGTTTTCCTTAACTGCACGTGGTGTGTTAAATGCGCACATAAAGGCCATTGGCTTACAGCCGGGGTTCCACTTTAACAAGTTAACAACTCAGGGATGTGAGTGCACGCTGAAGCCAATAGCCCAACACTGATCTGGTTCATAAGTTGGTATAAATTAAAAAGTAATAAGTAAAGAATAATTAAAGAAAATGTTTAAAGGACGTCTCGTATGACGAGCTCACGGTAAAATTTCACACAGTCGTTAAGATAAAAGTGACGATAATTGTCGTCAATTTGCCACCCGTCCTCTGGCGGTTGCCGTGAAATGCCGTTCATTAACGTTTCAAATGGACTCGTTGACAATTCTAGAAAGTACCGCAAGAACAAAGGAAAAAAACAAAGAAATCAAGCAAGCATTGTGCTCTTCACTCGATTCCTCAATAGCTCTCTCGTTGATATTATCACAATATTCGTTAATACGCGGACATTATCTGCGGAACTTTAATTGTTGCTTATTGTATTTGGATACAACGCAGGATGTTTGGAATTCCTATATTTTGTGACTTTCGTTACCATACGTATGTGGCGTAACGTCTGTTCATTGATTTAAAACAATTAGTTGTTTAGTCTCTGCGCTTACTAATCAGAAACAAAAATTGTTTAGGGCAATGATAAATATGTCAGGAAGATGTCTTGTTTTCAAATACTAGTAGAAACTTATTCATGCAAATGTTAACAATTACTTATTCGATGCAGGAAAGATTGAAATATTCAATTATATTTTAAGCAAAGGTGTTTTACTGTGCAATGCTTCCTTAATCAGTTGGGTGTTGCGCCGTTCTAAATATTATATAACACCATAGTGACTTAATGGGTCGACTCCGAAACGTTATAATCTTCGTTATATATAAAATCATAATCAATTTACGATGATTAAATTGTATTTTCCTCTATATCAACGACCAAGTTTATTATTTTGGGGTTTTCTTTTTGTTTCAATGTTGATACAGATGTTTTTCTGCGGAGTCTCTTACGATAATAATTCATGGTTCACTGTTTCCCATTTAATTCCAGTATTTTATTTAACATAAGTATTTTGATTGCGATATTTACCTTTGTTGTAGTGTAGTTGAAGTTTAGTATGAATTGAGTTTAATTGTGGGGCTTTAAATATATTTATAACGAGATTTCAATTTGATGCAGACGAAAAGGAATTTATTTATTTGCGAAAAATAGTTTTAACTAAAATGAATTATTAGGAAACATAATAATTAGATAAAATATGACGTTTAGAACAAAGGGATTAGTGACCTCTGTGGTTTTAATGATTCCGAAGTAGATAAGATAAACCGAATAGACAAACATACATACTGTTACGAAGATAGGCTGACTGAAATGTTTCTCGAATTTTTCACAAATTGAAAACGTTTTCAGTGAGGTGAAACATGGTTTCTTGTATAAAGTTACCCTCGTTTTCAGGATTTTTTTTCAGGCTGTTATCATGTGTAGCCGAGTGGTACAGTTATCAGGAAACCCGTTTTCAGGCGTTTTCAGGACTGGTTATACCCTCGTTGATTTACTTTATGAGATCTACGGCGTTTTCTATCGGATCCTCTAGTTCGTAACAATACTCCAGAAAAAACTGAATCTAAAGCAATATCAATATCTTACTTTGGAGAAATGGCACTTGCCTATGTAGAAAAATACAAAATAGACCAGTGTGACCATAGATCCATAGTTTAGAACTGTAGGTTCCATAGTTTAGAAGAATAATACCTGTCGTATTATAGTAATTTTTGTAGGTTTTGTCTAACACAAACACAATTTAACAACCGCCAAAGGACAAATTCCTTATTACTTTCTAATAAAACGCGCTTTATTTAAATTTAGTTACGTGAAATATAAATATAATCGTTATATTCAGGTTATGTTGTAAGTATGAGGGTGTGCAATTATTTAATCAATTACCGTCTAAAATTCGTAATATTAGCGCGTTTAACCAATTAAAGATAAATTTCAGAATGAGCCTAGTAGACTAAAATTGAGACGTCTGATGGCGTGTATCTCGTTCGTATATACATATTAAGTTACTCATTTAAATAAAACTATTTTTTTTGGAATGAGAAATAAAGCTCTTTTAACATTATGTGGTAGCCCATGTTTCCCAAAGACTATGTTTGCCCCAGCGAATGGGCCAAGATCGGCCAGTGTAGGAAGGATACCTAAACCGTTGGTCTACGAGCCGGCCCAGCTGGATCGGACCTGAAAAAAGAATTGATAAGACAGAGTAGAGGGGGAATTGAAGCAACTGAAAGGCAGGAAATGGCGGGTTGTGGCTCAGGACAGGAGCCCTAGAAGTTTCTTGTTTCAGAAGCCAATATAAATGGGTTGCAGAGCCAACGTCTATATATACATAAAGTTTACCAAAACACAGTGTAAAAAATATTCGCGTATAATATTTGCGCACAAATTCTCACTTAAGTAACGGTGGGCCGTAATTTGCATGCAAGTATCATCTTCTACAAAACTTCAGACATCATTAAAACTTATTACGTGGAAGGATCCCTGTCACGGAAACCGAGGACCCTCTTAAATTATGAATATTTCTTTCAAATGGTGTCTTCTATCGTGTAAATTATGGATTAAGGGTATTTCAAACGATAATAT